TCCCTCTGTCACCCAGACTGGAGTGCAGTGGCTGCCCCCGGCCACTGCAGCCTCCACCTGCTGGGCTCCAGCAATCCTTCTGTTTCAACCTTCCAAGTAGCTGGAACTACAGGCACGCGCTTCCACGCCTGGCTAATTTTTGATCTGTTGTAGAGATGAGGTCTCGCCAAGTTGCCCAGGTGGGTCTCAAACTCGCAGGCTCAGGCAATCCAGTCACCTCAGCCTCTCAAAGCGCTGGGATTACAGGCTGAGCCACCGAGCCCGGCTGGTAGCTGCCATTTTATTTTTTTATTTTTTTTATTTTTTATTTTTTTGAGTTGGAGTCTCACTCTGTTGCCCAGACTGGAGTGCAGTGGCACATTTCCGGCCACCGCAGCCTCGACCTGCTGGGCTTCAGCGATCCTTCCACGTCAGCTTTCCGAGTAGCCGGAATTACAGGCACGTGCTACCACGCCCGGCTAATTTTTGATATATATTGTAGAGACGAGGTCTCGCCAAGTTGTACCGGTGGGTCTCAAACCCCCAGGCTTAGGCAATCCACTCACCTCGGCCTCCCAAAGTGCTGGGATTACAGGCTGAGCCACCGAGCCTGGTCTGTAACTGCCATTTTAAATGTTAGAGAAGGACTTCTGATAGGGAGCACTTAGCTGAAACTGGAATTGACTTAATGGGCGTAAACCATGTGGATATCTAGGGGAAGACTGTTTCAGGCACAGGAGATAGCAAATTAAAATGCTCTGAGGCAGGAATATACTTGAGGTGTTGTAGGACTACCAAAGAGACCACTATGTGGAGGCAGAGTGAGTGAAGGGAAGAGGAGTAGTAGATGAGATCAGATAGGCGGCCAGGGTCAAATGATACAGGGCCTTGTAGATGACAGCAACAACTTGCCAATCAACACTAGAGAGTTTTGAACAGAAGAGTGACTTGATCAGATTCACATCTATAAAGGTACCATTCTATGTTGTATGGAGAATAGACTACGAGGAGGATAGACTGGTGAAAGTAGAAGCACTAATCTTGGCTGCTGATGGTGGCCTAAACTAGATAACAGCAGTGGAGGCACTGAGAAATGATCAGATTGCAAGTTCATTTTGGAAATGGAGCCACCAGCCGGGTATGGTAGCTCATACCTGTAATCCCAGCACTTTGGGAGGCTGAGGCAAGAGCATTGCCTGAACCTACAGGTTCAAGACCGGGAAACATGGCAAGACCTTATTTCTACAATAAATCAAAAAATTAGCTGGGTGTAGTGGCACATGCCTGTAGCTCCAGCTACTTGAAAGACTGAAGCGAAAGGATAGCCTGAACCCAGCAGATGGAGGCTATGGTGGCTGTGAGTGTACCACGGCACTCCAACTCAAAAAAAAAAAAAAGAAAGAAAGAAAATGGAGCCACTATGAATTGCTGATGGATTGGTTGTATAGATTAGAGAGTGAAGGATGATGCCAATGTTTTTCACCTAAGTAACTGTTAGAATAGTGATATCATTCATTGTCCCAGGAGATTCCATCAGAAGCTAACACCCTTGAAATATACTTCAATAATAAAAAGGAACGAAGTGCTGATATATACAACAACATGGCATTATAATGACAAAAGCATTATGCTGAGGGAAACAAGTCAGTCTCAAATGACACTCATACAAATAATAAAATTATATTGGTGGAGAATAAGTGAGTAATTGCAAGGAGCCACTGTGCCTAGCTAATTTTTCTTGATTTATTGTACAGATAAGGTCTTGCCATGTAGCTCAGGCTCGTCTCGAACCCCTGAGCTCAGGCAATCCTCTTGTCTTCACCTCACAAAGTGACAGCCTACATTTTCTCTCTTTATTTTTTGAGTCGGAGTCTCACTTTGTCGCCCAAGTTGGAGTGTAGTGGCACATTCATAGCCACCGCATCCTCGACCTGCTGGGCTCAGGCGATCCTTCCACCTCAGCCTTCCAAGTAGCTGGAGCTATAGCCGCACGCTACCATGCCCAGCTAGTTTTTTGACTTATTGTAGAGATGAGATCTCACCAAGTTGCCCAGGCTGGTCTCGAACCCCTGGATTCAGGCAATCCTCTCACCTCGGCCTCCCAAAGTGCTTGGATTATAGGCTTGAGTCACTGTGCCTGGCAGTTTTTTTTTTTTTTTGAAGCCAAACTTTGTGCATGCTCAAGTTTCCCTTTCCAATTCTCAGAGATCTCCCTTTAACCTCTGCAATTTTGGATCTTTCCATCAGTATTAAAGCAAACTCAAGTTCCATCCAACTTTTGCTTTAAAAAAAGAAAAAGAAGGCTTTCCCTTGATTTCACAGTCTGTGAATAAAGTCTTATCATACTGTCCTCTTTCCTGACAAAACTACTTACTGTTCTTACTGCAACCCAAATGACCTGATCTTTTTCCTTCCTGAAATGCTCTATGGCCGGGCTCGGTGGCTCAGCCTGTAATCCCGTGCTTTGGGAGGCTGAGGTGAGTGGATTGCCTGAGCCCGCGGATTCCAGACCCGCCTGGGCAACTTGGCGAGACCTCATCTCTACAGTAAATAAAAAAATTAGCCAGGCGTGGTAGCACGCACCTGTAGTTCCAGCTACCTGGAAGGCTGAGGCAGAAGGATCGCTGGAGCCCAGCAGGTCGAGGTTGCGGTGGCCGGGAGCGTGCCACTGCACTCCAGTCTGGGTGACAGAGTGAGACTTCAACTCAAAAAAAAAAGAAAGAAAGAAAGAAAGAAAGAAAGAAATGCTCTATGGCTTTGCATTGCTCTCGGAATCAAGGCCTACATTACATCACATGGCCTACATGGCCCTGGAAAGATCTAGCTTCTTGCCTACCACTTTGAT